AACTTCCAGATTCAAGTGCTTTCTCTGGCCTATAGGGTGGAGTGGTTGCACAGACACCACCCTACTTCATGGCTCACTTTTGCCCTGCTCCCCTTGGTCCCACACACCCTGCCCTTTTGTTTCTGACCTTTGGCTCTCAGTAGATTTGATCATGTCAAGGCTCTGCCTAAAACCCTCAAGCAACACCTCATGGCTCTGTGAATGGAGACCAAATGCTTATTGTCACTTTGCCAAGCCTTGTAAGACCAGTCCATCCCCCACTTCTCCTGCCCAGCTCCACCTTTGTTCCCCCACGGACTCACTCACACTTGCCTTTTCTTCATGGTTCCAATGTAACCAGGGCCTCTAGTGGCCTATTCTGCTTCTTGCTGACTGAAGGAAATTTCAGTTGGAAGAAATTTTGATCTTTACTCATTCCTTAGAAAATATGACGAAGGAGGAGGACGTTCTTAATGTATACCAAAACATGGCAAAAGGCTATACTTACGTGATACTTCAAAATTATTTTGCCAAAAATACCAAATCCATTCTCATCTCTGCAACTGAATAGCCTCTTCAAAGATGGCTCCCAGACCCCAGCCGCTCCTCTCACCTCAGCCGTTTATTATGCAGATCACCTCAGCTTCTTTATCTTTTAGTTTATTCAGAAGCTCAGTGCTCAGATTCTCACACTGGAGAGCCCAGGAGGTGCTCCAGTAAGCTTGGGGTGAAGAAAGTACAGAGGGAGAAACTGTGAAACATTTATAACATTACATCACTTCTTTCATCCCTTCCTAGTCTCAAACAGGCTCCTTCTTATCTACAGGACTGTACACTTGTCCTTCTCTCTGCTGGGAACACTTTGGTCCTCTAACTCCTCTTCCTTCAGTCTCAGCTAAGGCAGCCCTCTCCTACACACTTTCAAGGCTCCTACTATAATGAAATCTACAGGTTTATTTCAGAGCTAGACAATTTGCGGACTCCCACAAGAGACTGACTATAAGCTCTATAAATGGGCACCAACCGTGTCTATTTGGTTCACAGCCAAATCCCAAGGGGCCAGCCCACAGCTTGGCATCTATCAGGCTCTCAATAAATATTTGCTGTAGTTGTGTATTCACATCTTATTCATTCTTCACCAGGAGCTCAAGCTCTCCTCTCTGCAACGGTCATTGGTCCTCTCTGAAAGGTGGATGGCTTGCTCCTTTTCTGCCCATACAACACTCATCACCAGGCCTAGACAGGCATAGTGTCCTGCGGGTTGTTTCCCTGTTGATTTGATGAAACCAACTTCTTTCTCTAAATGCAGCTGTGTTACTGAGGACCCTCCTTTCTGGGTACCTTTGACTGATCTCCCCACCTTCCCCACACCATGGGGACATTTCCTCTATTTACTTTTCTGAGAGGAGTGCCTATTCCTCCCCTCATAAACAAACACCAGAAGTCATATGGTCCTGCTTGGACTTCCTTTTCCAGATGAGAGCTGGGGTGTCAGGCATCTCCCATTTCCACTTCTTCCTCCTTTCTATCTCTAGGACTGGTGAGGGGCAAGGGTATGGAAAACCAGCCTGGCCTTCTACCCTCCCCCTTAGGAGAGACTGGGCTCTGTGGCTTGCGGATGTGTCTCCATCCCCACATCCTTCCTTGATGGGCGTGGAGGGCCTGACATCACCCTCCCCACCCTTTACCAACGGAAAAGCTGACACCAAAGCAGAGATGGATGTTGGGCTTGGGCCAAGGCCATCTAATTATGTACACAGGGCCAAATCCCACTCTCCTCTGACCAAGTCCAGCAGCCACCAAACAGGGAGCTGAGCTGTTGTTCCATAGGTAAGGGCGACGCCTGGTGGTAAGGAGGAGAAGCAGACTGCTTGTCCCTCAGTTCCAGGACTTTAAGGTGGACCAGTGAAAGGGAATAGCCTGGAGAAGCATCCACACAGTCTTTAATGATCACGTTATACAAGGACTTTACTTCAAAAATTCGCAGAAATCTTGTATTACTTAGTAGCAAAGCTGTAAAATCCTATAAGGGTTTAAAAACGTGTGCAAACAATATAATAAGATTTTATTACGGACTGAGTTGTGTCCCCAAAAAATATGTATTGTAAACCCTAACCTCTATGCTTATGGCTATAATTCCATTTGGGAATGGGTTGTCTTTGTTATATTAATGAGGCAGGATTAGTGTAGTGCGTATCTTGATTCAATCTCTTTTGAGATACAAAAGTGATTAAATGATTGAGCAGAGGTAGGGATGATAGATGCCAAGCCACATAGAGATCTTCAAGGAACTAGGAAACAGAAGCTGAAGAGACAAGGACTTTTCCCCAGAGCTGACAGAGAGAGAGCACCTTCACCTAGAGCTGGCACCCTGAATTTGAACTGCTAGCCTCTAAACAAAAGTCTCCTAAACTGTGAGAAAATAAATTTGTTTGTTAAAGCCATCTACTTGTGGTACTTCTATTAGCAGCACTAGATAACTAAGACAAGGAGCTCTGGTGGCATAGTGGATAAGGCACCTGGCTGCTAACCAGAAGGTCTGTGGTTCAAACCCACCAGCCATTCCATGGAAGGAACATGGGGCAATCTACTTCAGAAACCCAATGGAGGTCGCTATGAGTTGGAATTGACTCAATGGCGGTGAGTTCTTTTTTTTTTTAGTTAACTAAGACAGGTTTAAAGATAAAGTTGTTGTTGTTATGTGCTGTCAAGTCAGACCCAACTCACAGCGACCCCTCCTTGGGTTTCCAAGGCAGTATCACTACGGAAGTAGATTGCCTCATCTTCCTTCTGAGGAGTGGCTGGTGGATTTGAACCCCTAGCCTTCTGGTTAGCAGTCAAGTGCCTTAGGCACTAGGCTAAAGATAAAGATTCAACCATAATTCCACTACAGGTTGTTGTTGTTAGGTGCTATCAATTCAGCTCTGACTCACACTGAGCCTCTGTACAACAGAACAAACACTGCCCCATCCTGCACCAGCCTCACAATCCTTGCTATGCTTGAGCCCATCGTGGCAGCCACTGTGTCATTCCATCTCGTTGAAAGTCTTTCCCTTTTTCACTGAGCTTCTACTTTAGCAAGCATGATATCCTTCTTCAGGGAATGGTCCCTTCTAACAACATGACCAAAGTAGGTGAGAGAAAGAGTGGACATTCTCGCTTCCAAAGAGCATTCTGGCTGCACCCGTTCTAGGACAGATTTGTTTCTCTGGCAGTCCATGGTATTCTCAGTATTCTTTGCCAACACAACTTAAAGGCAGCAACCCTCTTGGTCTACCTTATTCATTTCCAACTGTCACATACATATAAGGCTATTGAAAATACCATGACTTGGGTTAGGTGCACCTTAGTCTTCAAAGTGACATCTTTGCTTCTTAACACTTTAAAGAGGTCTTTTGCAGCAGATTTGTCCCATGCACTAGTTGTCTGATGTCTTGACTGCTGTTTCCATGGGTGTTGACTGTGGATCCAAGTAAAATGAAACCCCTCACAACTCCAATCTTTTCTCCATTTATCATGATGTCACGTATTGGTCTGGTTGTCAGGATTTCTGTTTTGTTTACTATAGGTAGAAGGTGTTATTAAAACAATTAAGTTCTTTCTGTGGTTTTAAAATAATCATTTAATAAATTTTTATTGAAAACACTCATGTGCCAAGGATATCTCTACTGAAATGAGAATCTTGAAGTTGCTTCAGGATGTGTGACCAGTATAGGTGCCAAACCCAAACCGAACCCACTGCCGTGGAGTCAATTCGGACTCATAGCAACCCCTATTGGGTTTCTAAGGTGGTAAATCTTTATGGAAGTAGATTGCCCCATCTTCTTTCTGGGGAGTGGCTGGTGGGTTTGAACCACCAACCTTCTGATTAGCAGTCAAATGCCTAAGGCACTGCATTCCAGAGCTCTTTAGTACAGGTGCAGGTACCTCCATATATAAAAGTTTCTGAGTGGCTCCCAAGGTCCTTAAGGGAAATTAAGCCAGTTTTTGGTGCATCTTGCCCCTGGCCACCTTCCCTGTAATGACCTAATAACACTGCCCTGTGACCTTAACTGCACCCTATCATCTGGATTCTCAGGAAGCCAGAGATAAGCATTAGATAGTTCTTGGCACATTGTGGACAAATTGCAGGCTCACATCAATTCAGAAACCTGGTCCCTCAAATGCAGCACCTTGTCATCGCTGGAGGGGAAGGGCTTTCTATTAAAGAGTCAAGGGACTGAGAATATGGCTGTTCTGAAGTTTTTACACAATCTATCTTGTATCTCAAGAGGCAGTAGGACTTCACCTGGACAAAAGGCTAGCTGTGTTAACAGAAATACTTGGAAAAACAAGCCTTCAACAACTTTCCAGGCAGAAATGGGCATGTTTAGAGACCACTTGAGTATTAAGAACCCCACTCCTGCTACCGAGGGAATCTGGGCAATTTACTTTGAAATAACTTCCAGAGCTGTTTCTAACTGTTCCTAGATTAAATGGCATATTTCCAAGAAGTAGCTGGTCTACAGAAGAATGCAATTTCACTGAAAATATATTATCATGGCTATACCTTCTTATCCCTTCCTAGATGAGGACTTTCCTACCCACCTTGATGATCAGGGATGTCCTAGTATATGCCCAGATCAGGAAGTGTAAAGCTGAAAATGGGGTTGGAGACAAAGTCCAACGTGTTGCTGGTCACTGTGGTGTCACTGCTCCCGATACAGGTGTAACTTGAGAGTACCTGCTTGGGAGCCAGAAATCAGCTGAGAAGAGGCCTCAGGAGAAAGGCTGCCCTGGCCTTGGAGCGTGGATGAAGTGGGGCCTCAGTGCAGTTCATCCCAGAGCTGGCTGTACTGGAGTTCCTGACTGCACTGAAGGGTTTGGGTAAGGCCTTCTGCAGCACCCCTGGGGTTCCTTGAGCAACCTGGGGAAGTTAGGACAAAAGTTCTGGCTCACGACCCTGAGGTGTGAGCAGAGCAGAGAGGATGCTGAATTGAGAGTGCCTAGTTATTGTCTCCTGGCAGCCCCTCTGCGTTTACCTGTTTCTGCCACGTAAACCTGATTACCTAGGTTCAAGGTGACAAAGGGTGGGCAGACATGGCATTCAGAACATGTGGACCTATCAGGGGGCACGGAGGACTCAGGCCTTCGCTGGCTTCTCCAGGAGACCTGTAAGGCCACAAAAAGGAGTTTGGTACAACTGATAAAGGAGGGGGTCAGAGAGGCGTACTCTGCGTCCTCGCCTAAAGCCAAACCCCCATCCACCATCCCTTCCTCTGAAGCCTAAGCCTTGTTGACAGAGAGGGAAAGGCTCTGGCGGTCGACCCCAAGATCCGGCTGTGTGTGCAGGAACGAGAAGCCGGGCTTAAAAAGAAAGAATTTCTTCCTCCAGAGCCGGGAAGTCCCCTCCCCGAGACGTGAATTCCGCCTTGCGGTACACGTTCTTCCCGTCGGATCGGTCCCCAGAAGCCCCGCCCCACGGCCACTGCCTGCTGGGATTTGTAGTTCATAGGAGCGGGGCCACGTGTGTGTGGGGGTGGTCACAATGGATATGTGGGTGGTGGGTGGGTGGGTGGAGTGGGTTGCGCGCGTGCGCGCTCCCCAAGGCCCCCTAGACCTGAGCCCGGCACATTGCTCTTCGGTCGCAGCTCCCGAAGCCCCGCCCCACGGCCCACTGCCTGCTGGGATTTGCAGTTTTGGCAGTGGTACCGACGAGGTGGTGGCCCGCGTGCGACACCGCGTACGGCCTTTTGGATCTCCTTGCGGGCGCTGAATGTGTACAATGGTTCTGGTGAGGGGCACGCAACTCCAGACAGGCGCGGTGGACACCATATCCTCCGCCAACACCATGTCCCTAGGATCTCTGAAGGACTAGCTTCTAGATGGGCAAATTGTGGCACAAAGAGGGTCCTGCCCTGTCTGGCCAAGCTATGCGCCAGGCGGAAGAAAGGCCGCCCAGAGGGAGGTCTTGGTCAGCCCAGGCTTGGTCCACTGAGGGCTTTCTCGGCTAAGAGTTTGAGAGACTGTTGTTATTTCTTCTTCTTCTTGTGTTTGCCATTGAGTCTGACCCGACTAGTGACCTCTCCTTGGGTTGCCAAAGCAATATCACTACAGAAGTAGATTGCCCAGCCTTCCTTCTGAGGAGTGACTGGTGGGTTTGAACCTCCAGCTTTCTGGTTAGCAGTCAAATGCCTTAGGCACTATGCCACCAGAGCTCTCTGGTATCTCAAAATTAATAACAGGCCGGCCCACGGTCCATTTTGGTTGATTACCTTATGAGGTTGCCAGATAAATTTTCATTTGCCAGCACGGCTACCCTACAGAGGGAGTCCAGGGAAGAAGACTCTTGTGACCAAAACAAGGAATAAGTGAACCTGGCATGGTGGTTATGTTTGTGTGTCAACTTGGCTGGGCCTGGTTGAGTAGCTGGGCAGCTAGTGGTAGTTATTCCCCATAAGGAGACTGGCAATCAACTCCATGGTGGGATTGACCACAAGCAGCTGAGTAGCTGCTTTGAGTATGTGGTCTGCTTTCTGTATATAAGCAGCAGCTTTGGGAATGGTTCTCTAGCTTATGGCACTCTTGGACCCTGCGTGGAACCGGGTTATTGTTCAGCAGCCTGCCATGCTCTGCCAACCTTGGGACTTACAATGGACTTAAATTAGTGGCCTGCCATGTGGTTTGGTAACATCAGGACTGTGCCATTTTATTTGTCAACCTTGGGCTTGTTAGCCTCAGCAGCCCTGAGTGAAGAAATCCCTCTAGCTCCAGTGGGCCAGGAGCAGGAGGCAGAGCTGGACCCCAAGGTTGAGGGGCTTTCACCCAGCCCCTAGAGCCTGGCATCTTGAACTTGGACTTGAAGGCTCCAAATTGTAAGAATAAATTCCTGGTTTTTAAGGCCATCCCATTTGTGGTATGTATTCTTGTCACAGCGGCACTAGGTAACCAGAACACCCGGTTCACAGGATTGTTCTGTGGATCAAATAAACAGGGTTTGTGTGTATGGGGTCTATGTGTCTTGTTAACTGTAAAGTCCAAGGCTCGGGTGAAGGGCTGCATTTATCCTCAGGATCTGAACTGAATGAAAGGCTCTGGGCCTTCAGGCACCTCACTTAAAAAGGGAAGTTTTTTGATAGCATATTGTAGTAATGTAAGATGTCCCCATGAAGAGGAGGTAGATGATAGGTACATGGGACCTCTACTGCTATTTTTTAGGTAGATTAAAAATGGGTCAGGGGTGGCCCTTACCACTCAAAGGTTAGGAGCCCTTTTGTTTGTTTTTGGACAGGTTTATTGAGATAAAATTCACATACTATACAATCATCTATTTAAATTGTACAATTCAATGTTTTTAGTATATAGAATTGTGCAATCATCATTGCTATCTATTTCCATAATATTTTCATCACCTCAAAAAGAAACCTGTACCCATTAGTAGTTATTCTCCAAACCGTTCATCCCTGGCAGCCTAAAGCAATTACTAATCTACTTCCTGTTTCTATAAATTTGCCTATTGTGGGCAGTTTATATAAAGGAAATGATAAAATGTGATCTTTTATGACTGGCTCCTTAGCATAAGGTTTTCAAGGTTCATGTCATAATATGTATCAGTATCTCTACTATTTTTGTAACTTCTTGAGAATCCATAAATATTTCTAAATTTTTTTTTAAGTCAAGGTACCAAGAGAGTGAGCAAAGCTAGCTCCTTACATATTGTCACAGCTGGCACTAGCATTCAATCCAGAGGGTGAGGTGGACCTTAAGTCTGCATGGCATCAGGCAGGAGGGGAGAGAAGGGCCTGCAGGGAGAAGGGGCGCTTGTCTCAGCCCAGTTCCACCTGAGGAGGGAGCATGGAAGAGTGTTTAAGGAAGAAGGCATGGAGTCCCCTGACACGGGTCCAAGCATATCCCCTTAGTAAATGTGTCCTGGAGCAAGTTATTTTGGCTTCACTTTGCCTGGTTTCCTCATCTGTAAAATGAGGATAATAAGAGGGTTTATAGGAAACCCTGCCCTATAGGGTTTCGTAGGTTGTAATCTTTATGTGAGTATATTGCCAGGCCTCTTGTCCCTTGAAGTAGCTGGTGAGTTTGAACCTGGCCTTTCAGTTAGCAGGTTAACCAGGGTTCCATAAAACAGTATAGTTGTTGTTGTTATGTGCCGTCGAGTCGGCCCCAACTCATAGCAACTCTTCCTTGGGTTTCCGAGGCAGTATCACTAGAGAAGTAGATTGCCCAACCTTCTTTCCAAGGAGTGGCTGGTGGGTTTGAACCACCAGCCTTCTGGTTAGCAGTCAAGTGCCTTAGGCACTATGCTACCAGAGCTCCTAGGCAGTACAGTAAGGCCCTGGATTACATGCGATTTAGGACAACTTGTATTTGTCCTTCAATATTATGTAATTTTGCCTTCACTTTGAAACAGTTGAACCAACCCTTCCAATACCAAAAAACAAAACCACTGCCTTCCAGTCAATTCTGACTCACGAGATGTCTCCTACTCGAAGCAAATTCTTTATCACGATCATCTTCACTTGCTGCACATGCAGCTTTTAAATCACTGAAAAGGCCTTTTCTTGCACTAAAACCAAACCCACTGCCACTGAGTTGATTGCAACTCACACAGACCCTATAGGACAGAGTAGAACTGCCTCATAGGGTTTCCAAGGCTGTAAATCTTGGTGACCCCTCAGGAAAGGCTGCCTGCAGAGTGGCCGGTGTGTTTGAACAGCCGATATTTTGGTCAGCAGAGATATGCTTTAACCACTGTGCTACCAGAGCGCCTTTCTTTGACTAAACCAAAAACGAAACCCACTGCCATCAAGTTGATTCTGACTCATAGTGACCCCCATAGCTTTTCCAAGGCTGTAAATCTTTACGGAAGCAGGCTGCCCTATCTTTCTCCCACAGAGTGACTAGTGGGTTTGAAACATGGACCTTTTGGTTAGTAGCTGAATGCTTTACCCACTATACTACCAGAACCCCTTTCTTGTGCTAAAGTAAGGCTAATGAAAACCATATGCACCTGTTCCAATTTACCTACAAATGAGACTTAAAAACACAGTTAGGAATGGATTTCATTTGTAACCCAGGGACTGCCTGTATGTGGGAAGATTAAATGAGAAACTCATGTAAAGAGTAGCACCTAGCAGACAGCACTCAACAGTGTTGCCTGTCATCTAGACCTTACATGTGTTGAGGACCCTGTGTGACCCTGGCTGTCCTCTTGTGTCCTTCTAGGGTCAGCCCCTCCATTCCATTCACCAGTGCTCTCCCACTACCACAGTGTTCCACTGGAGCTCTTTCCTCAGCCCCACCATGCTGCACTAGATAGTCCCACTTTTCCAAGGGGTCACCAAGGAATTCCAGGGTGGCACTATCCAGGTTGCCTCTGAGTACCCAGCAGTGATTAAAAAACAAAACTTTCTGAATCCTGAGTTTTGTGCAGAAAATAAGGCCATCCAGAACGTGGATCATTCCTCAGGGACTGTAAAATGATCTAGAAAAATTCACTTGCAGGTCAAATGAATTGCAGTTTAAAACCTTTCTTCAAAGGAATATTTTACAAAATTTTAACATTGAGATTTTTAGGTGTTGTGACAGACCCCTCTCAGCCACCCATGCTGAGGAAAGACAACAGCTTAGCCCAGGTTGTGCTTCAGGATGGAGTCAAAGTAGCCATGAGGGACTGCCTCAGTCTAGATAGATACATAGTTGCTGTTGAGTTGACTCCAACTCATGGTGACTGTTCTGGTTACCTAGTGCTGCTCTGACAAGAATATACCACAAATGGGATGGCCTTAACAAACAGGAGTTTATTCTTATAATTGGGAGGTTTTAAGTCCACGTTCAAAGTGCCAAGCTCTAGGGGCTGGGTGAAAGCCCCTCAACCTTGGGGTCCAGCTCTGCCTCCTGCTCCTGGCCCACTGGAGCTAGAGGGATTTCTTCACTCAGACAGCCGCTGGCTGCTGAGGCTGAGAAGCCCCAAGGTTGACAAATAAAAAGGCACAGTCCCAATGTCACCAAACGACACGGCAGGCCATTAACTTAAGTCCATTGTAAGTCCCAAGGATGGCAGAGTATAGCAGGCTGCTGAGCAATCACACGGCTACATGCAGGGTCCAAGCGTGCCACAGACTAGAGACCATTCCCAAGGCTTCTCCTTATATACAGGAAGAAGACCACATCCCAAAGGCAGCTACTCAGCTGCTTGTGGTAGATCCCACCATGGAGTTGATTGCCAGTCTCATCATGGGGAATAACTACTACCAGCTGCCCAGCTACTCAACCAAGCCCAGGCAAGTTGATACACAAACATAACTACCACAGTGACCCTATGTACAACAGAACAACAGAATGAAACGTTGCCTGGTCCTGCATCATCCTCATGATTGCTGGCATTTTCAAGTCCTCTATTGTGATTACTTTGCCAGTCAGTCTCATTAAAAGTTTCTCTCACCCTTGATGGCCCTTTCCTTCACCAAACATGATGTTCTCTATCAGCACTTGCTACCTCCTGATGATATGTCCAAAGCAAGTAAGCAGACATCGTTCTGTTATGATCCATAAGGTTTTTATTTTTTTATTTTTGCAGTGTTTCCTCCCCTCCCCTCGCACCCCTGGTAACCAACAAAGTTTCCTTCCACATAAAGCTTTCCTTGTCTTTTTACAATAATGAACTCATACAATATTTGTCCTTCTGTGACTGACTTATTTCACTCAGCATAATGTCCTCCAAGTTCATCCATGTTACTCTTTAGGGTTCCATAGTATTCCATTATGTGTATGTACCATATTTTGGTTATCCATTCTTATGTTAATAAGCACCTAGGTTGTTTCCATCTTTTTGCTATTGT